ACACACACACACACACACACACACACACATATATATTTTTAATATATATATAATAATATAATAATATAATAATATGTATATTAATATATAGCATATATATATTCATTCATACACACACACACACACAAACAGACAAATATATATGTATATATTCTGCTATATATATATATATATATATAAACATATACAGGTATTCATATATATATATATATATAAAATATATATATATATATGTAAAATATATATATAAATATGTATATGTATATATATACGTACACATAAACCAGTGATGTTTGCACAAATATGATAACAGTTCTGGAAATCTAATAATATTGAAAATATACAGATGATCAGATATATGTATATACAAACGTATATATATATATATATGTATATATACATATACGTATATATATATATATGTGTGTATATGTATATATATATAATATATAGAATATATATATATATATACATTTACATATATACATATATATATATAAATATATATATATTCATATATAGCATATATGAATAGATATAGATATATATATCTATATATATACATATATATATATAAATATATATATATGTATGTATGTATGTGTGTATTTATGTATAAATGAAAATATGTATATATATACACACACACACACATATATATAGATATAAATATATATATACTACTACATATTGATATTTATTGTATATATGCTGCTATAATATATACATATATATATATGTATGTTTGCTGCGTACATATATATATATATACGACGTATAATGCAACTATCGTTCCCCCAATATTGAGTTGGAACTCTCTTATTCAGAAGCAATTCTTGTTCGTTTGTGCAAAATAACGTTCGATATTGCATATACAGTCTATATTTATTATTCAACATATTCTATATACATACATACATACATACATATATATTATCAACTTAAAGTGCATATGTTATTGTTTCAGATTCCTTTATCAGCGTTGTGTCGCTATACAGTTGACGTTTCTTGAGCTGAGGCGTGGCCTAGCTCGCAATTATTTCCGCATCTATGATCGGCGCATCTTGCCCCAGATGTGCAGCATGAACACGCATAGAATGAACACCAGACTCATCACTACCACGGGCACGGGTCCACTGTATGGGAAAGAAGGGGTTGAAATATAAAATCAGTTTGAATTTAGGCCAACAAAACTTTGTACCTACAAGTCTATTGTCATTCGCTCGTACGGTTACCAATCGGCGCACATGATTTTAACGTTCACTTTACCGCCAACACGGACAGCAGCTCCGCCCATGATTGCTGCGTATCTGAATACAACTGTTGCATTTGCATGACATACTCCCATTTGGTCTAGTGCACTCGAGCACAGGCGGAAAGGTCGCCACAAGCGTTTGAGCTGGGATGATATTTTCTATACGCAGTGCTCAACAGCTCGGTACACTATATATCACGTAGCTATCCCTGAGACTTGAGATAGATGTATACACGTCTGTATCTAGTAATTATATTTGACACCCACGCGCAAATAAATGCAAATTGATCTTAAGTGATACTAAAAATAAATAAATAGATTAACGTCCATTCGTAGGACGTAGCCTACCATTGCAACAGGCACACACGCCACACATACATATACATGTATATGTGTGTGTGCGTCATATACATATATATACATACATATACACATATATACATACACACACACACACAGATATATATATACACATGAGTGAGTGTATTTCTGATAAACCTACACTTTAAGTCCGGGGCTATCCTCGGTGTAGAATCGCAGCATACCGCTCGCACCAGTAGGTGCAGTAGCACGCGCGGGCGCCTCAGACTTGGAGGAGCCTTCGCCGTTGGCGCTCTTTCGTCTGTGAATTTGCATTGAAAACAACGGCGTATCAGAAGAATGACTCACTCGACAGATAAAAATGCAAAGGCGAGTTAGGAGGAAACGACTAGCAGCAAACACGATTAGTGACAACAAAGTGCCAAGATTTATATATATAGGAATATCACTTTGGGAAGTAAGCTGTATCCACTGCACTATACTCAAAGCAATTATCTGTACCCATAACTTACTGTCTCATTCCGTCGGCACTCTGGAGTGGATGTTCAACAGACGCAGGGCACCAGGATAGTCATGTAGCAAACGAGAGAGAGAAGAAAGGAGTGAATAAGAGAAGAAATGCCATGCTTTCCTATCCCACTAAGCAATAGTACACACAAAGAGTGCTTGCAATGTTTACATAGACAAAAATGTACGTATACATAATATGTATGTATGAGACAGAGCAAGACATAGAACTGCGTCTATCCACATAAAACGTACCTAAACGTACATGCGTAATAACCCCTGCAAATGTTCATCGGTATACATGTACATATATATATATATAAACATGCACACATAAACTGCAAACATGCATACATAAACCTGCGAACATGCCTACATAAAACATGTGAACATGCATCCATAACCATGCGAACATGCGTATACACACATGTATATATATATCCTAATTAAAAAATAAATTTATATGGAAGCAGGTATATATATAAATATAAATACATACATCCGAACACATAGACATAGACAAAGACACACACACACACATATATATAGACATCATATCTGTATGCATATACACTTGCATACATGCACTTAGGAGTATTCCTACAAAAATAAGTAATACAATATTTCATACATAACATATTTATATATGTGAGTGTATGTGCAACTATGTATATCTTTATATACGTATATACTTGCATATACTTGCATATACACATTATATAAATATGTTCATATCTATAAGTGTATATATATATACATATATACATATATACATACACACACACACATAAATATATATGTATATGTGTGTGTATGTACGATTATATCTATCTATCTATCTATCTATTATATATATATATATATATATATATATATACATATACATATATATATAAGTGCACACACACTAGTATGAGTTACTGCGTGTGTGTGCTCGTGTGTATGCATGTGTGCGTGTATATATATATATATATATACGAACACACGCACACGCACACGCACACACATACA